TTGTTCTGGGATAAAAAGGGGGAGATGGGTACTACTGCCTTGTCAAGCATCTAGTTTTGTAGTACACTTTAAGTTCCATATGCTAGGGCTTGGACTTCTGAGTGGGTCTTCCATTTCTTGCTGATTTTCTTTTGCTTCCAATGTACTTCCCAGGTTAATAATGTGGTATGCATTGAGAAGTTTTCTGATTTCGCAAAAAAAATATTCACTGGTAAAGGGTTAATAACGGTAGTTAAAATTAACCACCGCAATTGTTGAATATTGCGGCGCATATTAGGGCGGTTTGTGAGACCGCCATATTTTACATATGTAAAATATGGTGGTTTGAAGAAAACGGCAGTTTAATTGCCATTTTTAAATAAAATTTCATAAAAAATATGGCAGTTTGAATGAAAAAGGTGGTCAACCGTCATTTTAAATAAAATTTTATAAAAAAACATTTTATAACATTTCCTCGTATGTAGAAAGGATGTCTCCTGCGCAGAACATTTGCCCTAGCTCGAAGTCGCGAAGCCGCTTGAATTCCCTTCTCCCTTGCACCCAGATGCCGTGATTCAGTCCAGCCAGGCATCCCCTCTAGGAACGACGACTGTGGTAAGGCTCACTTCTCCTCTCCTTCCTATATTTTCCTTGTTTCTGTTGCGTGATTTGGGGCAATCGGATGAATCCCTTTTTTTCTGTAATTTTCTTCTCTATTTTTTTGATTGAGGGCTTTTAATTGGTCAAAGGTAGAAGGGTTAGGGTTTTATAAATCTGCTCATAGAAATAAAATGGATGATCTTGTAGAGGGGATGAGCTTGTTTGTTGAAATCATCTTTTCATATGACGACCAAGGAGTTCTTCTGTTTTTTTTTTTCTTTTTTGTTTTTTTCTATTCTTTGCGATGCTGAAGTTGCCCTCATTATTTTCTGTCCTAGAGGCAAGTTATATGAATTTGCTAGTCTGAGGTATTAATCAATATTTTTACACTTTCTAAAAAAAATAAAAATAAAAAACAATGGTTGTATTATTTATGTATATGCAATATACTGCTATTAGGTCTTGTTTGTGTGTTGATTATGGTAATCCTGTGGTCATGGAGCTCTGATATTGCGTAACTAGTTTGTGGATTAATTTGAAGTCCTTTTAGAAAAAGAAAAAGAGAAAAAAAGAAAGAAAGAAAAGCAGAAGATGTAGGTATATGATTTTCTTTTTCTTTGTGACGTGGGAACTTAGATTTTGGGGTAATGTTTACATATGCATCTAGTACAAGTGTGTTTGCACGTGAATATGTGTTGAAATGGTAAAAATTTATTGAAATTGAGAAACTTACTAATTGTATAGAATATTCAATGCTTGCAATGACAGGTCACACATGCTTTGAAAAATTTTCAGTGATCTGTCCTTTCACATTTCTTTGTCCCACTCGCTACTCAATGGTCCATCTCTATGGACGAATTGTTTAATGCTGGACTAGATCATCTATGTGGTGGTCATATATAATGACGTATATTGGTGTAATTCGGTTTTTGTGCATAGTGGAGAGGTAGATTAGAGAAAATTCAAGCCAACAAGATACTAGTTTTGGATCTCGCATATCAGATCCAGATACAGTCCAGGAGCATTCTATACATTAGGCTACCCTATGCAATACAATAAGTTTTATATTCTTAGAACTTGAAGTAACATCATTAATCAAATTCTCTCTCTGTATCAAAGTTATTCCTAGGCATGTACATGGTCAGGTTGGCTCAGTTTGGGCTAAAGTTGACCCACAATGGACATAGTCAGTGGTTCAAGTATTTTGGGCCAGTAGTTCAAATTTAACAAGTTATTCAAGCCAATAACTCTTAGGTTATTACGAATGGTATCAGAGCCACTCTGCGTATAACCTTGAACAGTGGTGAGACAAACCTCGACGAGAATGTTGAGTCTCAAATGGGGGTGTATGTAACACTTTTAGACAAATTCCACATCGATAAAACATAGGAGAGATACTAAGCCTATAAGTATAGATACCTTAACCCAAGTAGATGCATTTTTAAATCGCAAGGGTTTAGGCCCAAAGCAAACAATATTTACTACTGTGGATTATTGGACTGTTACATAATAGTATCAAAGCCACTCTATATGCAACCATGAATGGTGGTGGGACAAATTTCAATAAGGACACTGAGTTCTAAAATGGGGTATATGTGACAAAATTGTATATTTCAATTTTTTTTAACCCATCAATCCCCTTTATGTAGCATCAAAATTAAAAATAAAATATTAAAATAACAAGGCATCAATCAAATTATTTTATGACCTAATCAATAAAAAGAAATGATTGCTCTTTTGCAAGGGTAAGATAATTATTTATATGCTTTTTTCTTGTATATTATAATTTGTTTGTGGATTTATTCATCATTTAAATGTCCATTTTCCTGTGAAGTTTCTTTATGTGATCGTTAGCTGTGAAAAGACAGGCCAAACAAATCTAATGTCACTCCCTTTCCCTGACTGTACATCGTTAGCCATTGAACACGGAGAAGATGCTGCTGTAGCAGGAAAAACGAGAAGATGGAGAGTGATTTTATGCCAGAGGGTCCAAGGTGGGGGCAGTTGGAAGCAGGGCTATAGCCACTTGGGTTTCATGGCTGGAGACGAGGGACTAATGACTCATCTGTAGGGGGAGGGGAACAAGCAAGACTGCGCATGCCTGGACACGTCACAATGCACCTAGCGATGCACCCCGCGAGTCCCCTGGCACCTTAGGCACAGGCGCACACCCTCTAAGTTTCTGTTCCCGTTTTTCCTACCTACCTTGCTGTATAGTAGAGAGAATCCTCTGTAATCTGGCTGCAATTTCAATTGTGTAGAAAGGGTTGGCCTTCCTTCTTTGTTAGCTGGCTTTTGTGCAATTCTAGAGCGAGAATCTCCATTGGAGCTTTTCCCCCAACTCTGTGTGCTCTAACACTTTCCCTCATTATTATTGTGTGTTTGTGTGTGATGTGTGTGTTTGTGTAGTTTGGGTGTGGGGAGGAGGAACACGAGAGGAGCATGCAGTGTTTGAGCTGAGGGAAAGCTCGACCAAGGAGAGAGAAGGCTTGACTGGTGTTAGGAAGACATTCTGGTTGCCGCAGACCCTTGAATCTGCGTTGGAGTGAAAAAGGAAGAAGGGCTATGCTATAGCACCGTGAACTGTGCCATAGCCATATTTCCAAATAGTACAGCACTTTAGCGCTCCTCTACCACGCTATAGTGCCAAACTTCCAATGAGTTCTGCGGTATAGCACAAGAAACCGCTATAGCGCTAGTTGTCAATGCAAGTTTTTTTTCCATTTCTCGTAAGTTTGGCACTGCGGCACCAATTTGTTCGCCGTAGTGGCCCGAAGGGGGCGTGCGACACTAGAATAGTAACAGGACAATAGAACAATTAATAATAAATTCAAACTTTATTATGAGATTCCTTCTTCTGTTTTGTTTGGACAATTGGTCCCAGAACTAACTAAATATTGCTAAACTATATGATTATTTTACTAAATTTTATAAATTTAATATTTTATATTTATTTTGCTCAAAATATTAAAAAATAATATGTATTTTACACAAATATATTTTTATAATTTCCTTTAAATAAAAATAATAGTCCCAAACAATTGACTTCTTCTCCCTGAAATGACACGTGTAAGGGTGAGGATGCATTATGGCAAGTTAGCAATCACTTGCTACTGTCAACTATAGGAATACCTAATTCCTGAGTCCCTTGTATTTTTGCCCTCTTTTTAATACAATGTACGTATGTTGGATTAATAAAATAATAAGGATACCAATATGTGCACGATATACTTAAAATTAAATATTATTCTGAATTTTATAATAAATAGGACAAAATAGAGATATATTCAATTTATTTTAATCTAAAATCTACAAAAATATGTATTAAGATATAAGAATATTATTTTAAGATGTTTTATATAGTTTCACTGTAAAAAAAAAAATTATAATAATTCAATATACGCATGAATTGAGAAATTAACTTTTTAATGAAATCTTTTCTAAAGGTTAATTTTTTTTAATATTTGGTTAATAATTGGCTGTTGGAATTATGAGTGTTTTAATTTTTATTTAAATTAATAAACCATTTTACATTTAAAAAGTTATTTCTTTTAAACAATAAAAAGAGTTTATCTTTCATATCATCAAGAAAGTTTTTAAATTTAAAAAGGTTCACATTTCCAAAGTATTAAATAACAAAAAATTCAAATGAGACTTTTTCTTCTTAATAAAATTCAAATATTTTAATTATATAACTTTTTTTAGACAAAAAAGGCTATATAAAAACGCAAAGGATTCCAATGTTGCTGGTTAAAAATAAAAAAGAAAAAAGAAAAAGTCTCTATTTTTAGGCCTTAATTAGCATATATCAAACTTTCAATAATTTAAACAAATTCTCAAATATCTTTTTTAAAGAAGAGAGTTTGAGGTGTGTATGTCTTCCCTTTTCTGCCTTAAAGTCCCTCACAAGAGTACTTTAGTTAGGATTAGAATCACTCAAACGTGATATAACTGGCAGAGAGAAAAGGAGAAAATTCATAGAAGAATCAGAGATCTGGAAAAGGAACTCACTGCCAAGCAAGCACCAGCGGTGGAGATTCAGCGAATGAGAGGAGCTGTACAGGTAAGGAGGCTTATGAGTGAGGATGGGGATCAGGAAGCTAGAAAAAAAATGGAATCAATTGAGGAAGATCTAAAAAAGACGAAAGAAATACTTGAAGGTCTAGAAGCTCGAAGTCAGGCACTCATTATCACGGAACGGAGAAGTAATGATGAGTTACAAGATGCTCATAGAGAGCTTATTAATGTAAGTTTTCCCTCCTCACTCCTTTCCTCCCTTCCTCACTCACTCACTCTCTCTCTCTCTCTCTCTCTCTCTCTCTCTCTCTCACACACACACACACACACTCACATTATCTTAAACATTGTGATTTTGATAGACTTGAAATTCCAAGAGAAAGTCAATTTGAAAAGAAAAAAAAATGCCATTGTATTTACTTGAAGTTACATTTATAAGCAGCTAGTTAAAACCCTTTGATGTGTTAAGTGCTTAGTTGATGCTTACATGTAAACATACATGGTGAAATGTTGAGATATGTTGGAAGATATAAATGTGGATCTTGATAACTGCAGCTCTTGTTTCCTTATTTATTGCTAAAAGAATCTTTCTAACAGGAAAACACGCAAGTGGATCCTAGTTTTTTTGTATATGACAGATTTTATAGTTTGAGTGAATCACATTTCCTATTTCTATAATAAAAATGGCATGACAAACTTACCCTTTATTTGTGTCACATATAATTTATTCTTTCAAGCTTTATCTTATGTGCATAATGGGACACCAGTCAGGAGTTGAAGACTCTTATCTGTAAAAATGAAAAATAAAATCTTTGGAAGCCTTTGTTGCTGGTTTCTTACTTTTTACTTGTAGTGCATATATGCCTTCTACAGAGATTACTACCTTGTGTGGTAAGTTGCAAATATGCAGTTCTCTATCTCCTTTGGAATATTATGGGAAATGATTGTGAAGGATATCAGTGAACATCAGGCATTGATCATGCACTATAGAAAAGTATAAAACACAAGCACTTCTTTGTTTAGATTGCCTTTGTCCCAAAAAGATTTAAATTTTAGGAGACAGGCAGACGGGGCTAATACTTCCTGTTCTCATCCAACTTCCTATTGCACATGAAGAGGAAGATGTAAATGAAGCGAACAAGGTGAATCAAATCTGCATAAATGACCATGGTAAATTGTGAAGGAAAAATAATGATATAAGTAGTTGAACTTAAGACCTTTAGGTCTAGAGATTTTGATACCATTTTTTGATTATGACATGTTCCAAAAGCTTTTGAACTGCAAGGAAATAGAGAAAGAATGATATGTCAGGCTAGTATTTCCTTCCCCATGAGTTCACATGCACGAAGAAGTTGCAAAGGTAGTCCAACCAGTATCTGCAGCTGGTGCTTCAAAAGGAAAGCTATATAAATCCTTTGCAAACACTAGTCCAAATTCTCTTATCCCAAAGTTCTTCAAGGCATTAAACCTTGGAGATGTCAAAGCTTTTGGTATAGATGCTTGATACCATATCAGATAATTACATGTCCGAAATCTTTGAACTATTCATAAACAGACTAATAATATGTCATGCTAATATTTACTTCCTGGTGTACATCATGTGTTTCTTTTTCATGCTATTGTCCTGTAACCACTCTCATTTGAGAGGATAGAGATACTAGATGGTGGAGCATCAATGCGTTGATTTATTTTTCAACCTTTTTGCTGGTATCTGTGGTCATAACAGCAATGAACAACTTGCTGTAGTGGGTAAAAGTACATATTTAGTGTAACTTGCCTTTTATTTCCTCTATTCTGGAATTTACTGACTCTTTTTATCCTTCTCTCCTGTTTGGAGGCTTAAAATCAAATTTTGTTGGGGTTTTTCTGGTGGTAGCTTACCATTGATAAATTCAGTGGTTGAGATTTGAACTTTTATTGTTTGTCTAATCAACTAGAAAGGATTTGGAAGGTTAAAATTTTTTGAAGTTTGTGCATAATGATTTGCTGTCCTTTTCTGGACCTACAATTTTTGTAGATTGGTTTATATCTTAGTTTTCTAGAATAGCATGACTTGAACATCACAATGGGGTGTTGAATCTGGTCCAATTAATTGAAAGGAATAAAAGGAGCATCACGCACACTTGCTTTCTTTATGTAAATAAACTTGGCATGTGTGAGATGAAGAATCTGTCATGAATCTAGTTAATGAATTGCACTGATAGTCATCATATTTTTGCATTTACTTTTTGGTAGGGTTTGCGATATAGTCATGCATTCATTGGTGGCAATATAATGGGAAAGCTTGATGACAAGCCATTCCATGCAGTAGCTAATAGAAAGTATCCAGGAAGAAGCTGCGGTGAGGGCTCGGGAGTCATGCTTATTGTGGGAGCAGCACCTTGAAGATCCAAGCTGGCATCCTTTCAAAATCATCGCAGCGGAAGGAGGAGACAAGGTATAGATTGCCTTACCCTTATAATCCCCTATCAATTCTCTTTTGAGAATTTTTTTACAACGTCAAATTTTGATGTAGTATTTATGAACTTAATGTACTATGTCCATGGCTTGTATACAGAGTCACTGTTCATTTTTTCCTAGTTTTCTCATTACCTGATTCAGTTTTAATGTGAGCTCAGGAAGTAATTAACGAGGAAGATGATAAAATCAAATATCTAAAGCAAGAGTGTGGAGACGAGGTTTATGAAGCTATTACAAAGGCCTTGGAGGAGTTGAATGAATACAATCCTAATGGTCGGTGCCCCGTATCAGAGCTATGCAACAAGAAGGAAAGCAGAAAGGCTAAATTGGTAGAGGGCGTAGCACAAATTCTCAAACAGTGGAAGCAACAGCAAAAAAGATATCGAAGGAGACTCTAAATTTAGAGAATGAGCTTTGTAAGATATTGATACATAAGACTGAATTGGGAAAATGTTCGCACTCCATCTGTTGTGGCTTCATCACTGGTGGATCCATCGCCTAAACTTGTTTCGAGAGGGTGACAATGTTATGTTAAGTTTGTTACGAGGAAAAAACAACAAAAAAATCAATTATGCAAGTGATTTTACTTTTTGGATGGTAAGAAGGATGCGTTGTACTTTGGTCAAGTTTTTTTAGGATGCATAATATCCCAAAAAATAAATAAATAAAGAAACAATTTTTCTTCTTAAATTGGTTTAAAACTAAACAAAAATTGTCTACTTGGATGGCATGAGAAGGACGTAAAGAAAATAAAGGGTAATTAAATTGTCCTTTCTTTGGGGGACGGTGAACACCTTGGTACTAAGCCCAAAATGATGGTTTTGAAACCTTCCCCACGTGGACAAATACTGGTTGGCCATTTGGATAAGTCCCTGAACATGGGTAATGACATGGATTAACACGTGGAATTAACATTAACGTTGATATTTTTTGGGGTATTTCTAGGGTGAGTCCACCCATATACAACATGTACATCAGTCTATTTTGTATAAGACGTTAGATAAAAACAACAATTCATCTCCACCGTTGCTATAAGAACGTGATATACATGTACTGAGTCTATCCATTTTTTTCTTTTTTAATTAGTACATTTATTTATTTTAACACTGTACTTAGTAAGAAGACAAAATTATCCTTAAATTTTTTTTAAAAAAATATTATTCAAATGCATATATTGTTTGAAGAAATATATTTTATAAAAAATTTTATCATCTTTTCCACAAATTTTATCATTTTTTTTAGTGTCCGGCCATCTTCTCGATGTCCGGTGTGAACTTCAAGCCGTCGTCCGAACTGAATTTCAAATTGACCTTTGCCGCAGCAGAGTTTTGTGGACAGCTCCATAGCAGAAACCAACGACAACAGCGAAGATGAGGCCGAGAGTGAGAGCCTCAACACCTTCGAGGTCGGCGATGGCGGAGGCAGCGGGTCGAACTTGTCCATCGCAGTGGCATTAGCCGCAGCAGCCTGGACATCTCGGGGAGACAGGGAAGCTGGATGGGTCAGCGACCCAGTGAGCTCCAGGAAATTGAGGACAGCCGACTTTCCCTGATGCTTAGGGTAGCCACATCATGGACGCAAGCCACCATTTCAGGGGTGGGGAACATGTCGAGCCAAAATCTCGACTTCTTGCACGGCTCACAGATTTCGGGCACCCATTTTCCCCAATTCCTCATTCTGACCCCGCGATAAACGGGTGCTTGTTGCTGACCCATCAAACACATAGATGTTCGTTATCATTTTCTGCGGGACCAGTGTCATAGTGGACTGATCAAACTTGTGTTTTGTTCAAGTGGTGAATAAGTTGCAGACATTATGACCAAACCCTTTAAACAAGATGTGTTCGTAAAGCTTCAATCAAGGCTTGGGATGATTTCAGATAAGGATATCTTTCTAAACTAATTTCCGTAGTTTTCAGTTTAAGAGAGGGTGTTGAGATAATTATTTGAAAAATTATCTAATTAATTAAATTGTAATTATCTTAATTAGAATTTGATTTTATCTTTTAAGATTTACTAGGATTAATTTTCTTATAAATAGGACTCTATGTAAACTATTCAAAGTGTGAAATAAAATTTGAGTGTTATATTTCCATCACTCCTTATAGTAATGTCGCAAATGTGAAACAAATTCATGACTGCCTGATAAGTCGAATCAGAAGAAAGTCGAATCCAACTTGTTACTTTGTAAATTTTATAAGTTTTATGTTATTGAATTTGTAAATAAATAGTTTTAAATAAGAATAACAGGCAGAGAGAAGTATAAATGAAAAATATAGATAGATATAAGGGTGTTAAATCTGTTCTATTTTTTTTTTTATAAAGACAGCGAGGGGAGTAGTCCATGACTTATGTTACTTGCGTTCCACTAAGTGTTTTCGACGAATTGGAATAAAAATACACTGCAATCTAAAGTGCACGGTCTAGATTGCGGTTTGAGGGAGTGTTGAGCGAATGTGGTAACTATTCTTCTTCCTTCTTCTACTTGCGCCGTAGCTTCAGTAAACACAGAGAGAGAGAGAGAGAGAGAGAGAGAGAGAGAGAGAGCAAATGGGTCGTGCACAAATAGAGAATGCCCTCGTTTTCTACATCGGAAGAGTTCCAGCTTCCTCTGCTGCTGTTGAGGACAGAGGGTGGTCAAGTCTAGCATAGGCATGCACCGGTGGGTAGTTGATGTGTGGACCAACTCAAAGCGTAGACACAGACCAACTCAAAGCGTAGACACTTGGATGCCTTAGGTGGCTGGCACTCTGTAGTGGACAATCGCAAAAGGTAGCTGCTGCACGAGACCTTAGAAGTCTTCTTGCTCTGCAATAGCCGAAAGCTTGTGTGGCATGCCGTTTTGCCTCTCTTTGTGATTGCTATGTAAGCATATATATGTTCTGGCTGGTCTCATGGCCTAAGAAAAATTTAAAATTTTATGTTTCCGCCCTCCATGGCCGAGACCAAGGCGCATGTGGCCAGCACTTAATTCATGCATGTGTCATGAACGAGGAGTTCAGAGACTTTGCATTTATGGCACGTATAACACCCAACCATGTGGTAGCTGAGGTTACCTACACCCTGACTTAGCTTTCCCCGTCGAGAAACCCCTTTCCTCACTGTAGTCGACCTTGTTCTTTCACCCTAAGCTAGCAGAAGCAACAGACAAGGAAAACAGAGCATGCGTAGGAGAAGAACAGGACACACACATCAATGGGGTACTCTGGGGGAGATTCATTCATTAATACAAATATCCAGCATCATCTCATGTGGGTGACGTTCGGCTATGACTTACGGCACCCAGAACCTACCACCGTGTGGCAATTGTGATCTCTCTTGCTCAAGACACGACCTCTCACACCCAAACAAGACATCTTCATACTCAGTCGTCTCTCTCAACCCTCACTATTGTAAGCGCATAAAACCTATGAACAGAGCAGGGAGTCAAAGGAGATGCAAAGTGAGGTGAAGTCTGACAAGTGATTTTATTGTTTCTAAATTCTGGGATATAGATTGAAGGGATGACTAATCCCTTAAATACAATTATAATTTCGGACCAGCAACGCTAGATTATTACAATTTGGATTGACATTGGGCACTGTTTATTAGTGGAAAAAATCCTGGGGGACTGTATTTGATGTTATGGCTATTAATTCAGCAACATCAAATAAATTCATCCGCAGGATGCCATTTGCTGCAAATGTCACGGGGGTCACTTCAGCAATCCTTTCAAACCAGGTCAGCTTGGCACCGGCTCATCGATTGGAGCACTCCTCGTCGGCTACATGAGCCACAATGATCAACTGGCTTAATCCAGCTTCCGCCGTCCACTACCAAGACCGAAGAAGACCAAAGCTCTGGCAATTAGGCTTCTAGAAGGCTGAATCATGCCCCCCTGATGGTCACGTGAGCCCCCACCAGCATGCAACTCTCGGCCGCTTGGCACCACAAGAAGCAGCTGCTGACACGTCGCACATCAGGGCCGTGACACATGCAGGGCAGTCTCGGGTGCTGCCACTTGAACTTAATTATTTGTGTAATTCTCTTGTAATTGCCTCCGTAATTACTTCATCTGGTTCAGCCTTGTCTCCCGCCATCTATGGATATATATGGGAGCTGGGTCCCCTTGTAATTTACGCGGAGTGATTAGTAGGGGCAGTCTACTGGGTCATCAACGGGGGTGCTGTAAGTCTCTGTCCATTACACTAGGGCTCCCCTTTACGACGAGAAGGGGGAGGGAGGAGAGCTTCAGCTCGTCGATCCTCCCTAGAAGAACCAAAGCCCACTGTAGTCTTTGTCAAGCTATAGGAATTGTGCTTCAGCTGAAGTGAGTGTTTGTATAGCATTCTTTCTTTCTTTGCTTTTTTCTTTAATACTTCACTGGTTTGCAGAGCTTTTTCTGTGTTCCACATACTAAAACCCCTTGGCTCCCCGTTCTTTCTCTAAAATCGCCATTGTTGATAGGACAACAGTTACGGGATTGGTCTATATACCGATTCCATCGCTAATTCGGTGGTTGTGCTTATGGGTTTTGCTTGTCTGTGTTAACCATTTTTTTCAAATTTTTTCTCGAATGAAACGGTGCTTTCGTATTCAGAAAGCATAGGTGTTGGTTGTTCTTTGGATTAGGGTGTGAATCTGTTAGTTTCATTCTGCACGAGAGTGTTATGCAATGCATGATTAAACTTTTCGAAACACTTGAACATGAGCATTTTTTATTATTCTTGTTTTGCGGCTAACTCCACTTATGTCTTTTTGTATTTGAGATATCTTTTCTGGTCTAGTTTGGGTTTTACGTTATGTTATATGTCGATTCATATAGATTCCAGTAGTATCTAATCTCCAGGAAGTTTTAAGCAAGAGATATTGAAACATTTCTAAGAAACATTTTGTTCTCTTCTGTTCTTTTGTTTTTGGTTGCTTCTTTCGGAATTAATTTTCCAGGAGCAGCATTATCCTGCACCTTCATGTCACTTGTTTTAAGCTTCCTAATTGAAGAAAGATCCACTTTGGTGTCAAATTTGTGTTAATCTTCACTACTTTATTTAGTAAAATTTACTTACTAAATCGGTTTAAATAGTGGCAATCTGTTATACCGGCTTGACCCTACAGCCACCATTGTTCATGCACAAATTTGTCTCATCTTGTTGGGCTTTATTTGTTTCTCGAACTTTCTCATTTCTTCTGAAAACTAACTTTAACTATTCTCAGTGACAACTTCTTAGTGCTGTTTTTTCAGGTCCAGTGGACATATTCGACAAAGAGTCAGATTTCAGTGACTTAGAGATCAACGAGTACAAAGAGAAACTTCATCAAGAACTGAAGACTGGCAAATACAAGGTAAAACATGTAAATGGTACGCTCAGGTGTCCTTTTTGTGCAGGTGAGAAGGAACAAGATTACCAGTACAAGGACTTTCTTCAACATGCCATAGGATTGGGTAAAGGTTCTGCCAATATAAGTGCAAAAAAGAAGGCAAACCACTTTGCACTTGCAAAGTATTTGGAGATTGACCTTGCAAATGAGGCGGAGCAACTGCCGCAGCCAATGATTAAACCAGCTTCTGTAACGGAGAGGTCTCAGCAAAATGATCTTTATTGTTGGCCTTGGATAGGAATTGTCATGAACATTGTTAAGGGGCCCAATACTAGAAAATCATTGGACAGTAGTGGATATCTGATGAAGGAAGTCTCAATTTTTAAGCCTCTAAGGGTGGAGATATTTTGGAATGACCATAACCAAATTGGTCAAGCTGTTGTGAAATTTGGCAATGACTGGACTAGTTTTAAGAATGCAATGGAGTTTGAGAAGTCTTTCGAAGCGGATCATCAAAGTAAAAAGGAGTGGTTAGCTTTAAAAGGGCGTCTAGATTCAAAAATCTATGGATGGTTGGCTCGTGCTGATGATTATAATTTAGAAGGCCCGGTTGGAGAATATGTTCGTAAAGAAGGAAAGCTGAAAACAACGTCTAACCTTGTTGAGGAAGCTACGCAAGATAGGAATAAAATTGTGGCAAATATGACCAATGAGATTGACATGGAAAGTGAAAAGCTGGATGAGTTGCACTACAAGTACAATGAAACCAACATGTCTTTGAGCAGGATGCTTGTGGGCAAAGACATGCTACATCATGCTTTCTATAAAGGTTCCCCTCCTCCTCCTATAATGCATGTTAGTATGTCTTCGTGCATGCGATATACCTCACTGTTAATGTTTGTTTCTTTGTTTCCATGGACATTATATACCTCACTGTTAATGTGTGTTTATATAGCTCCGTGCACATTATATAACTTACCATACATCTAATTTGTGGGTCTTGTTTGTCTGGTCATCAAAGGATCCTTTGGCATACATGTTTGTTTACCCCTTTGTGTGCTTTGATTCTCACCTTATGGTGGATTTGCAAAAAAATACATATCATGACGTCTATTTGTCATAATCACATTAAGTATTTCAAAGTTAATATGATCCTTCATACAGTCCAACAAGTTGTGTTTGAATACAAGTTAGTTCAACTTAACTAAGCCTTTCCCTACTTCATGAAATGGGCTACATATTCCTTTATCCATTCTTCTGCACAATCTTAAGCCATATGTATGTGTTGAATGACAGTGTACATCCCTTTTTCCCCTACTTCAACCAGATATTTTTGTCTACCTCAACCTCTATTGTTATCCTCAATAGAAATAATGGCACTTTTTTCTAAGTGGCTGCATACAATCTTTGTTGCATGTGCCCAAACTATTTGAACATAAATTCTCATGTTATCATTAATAGGTGCTACACCAGCCATCTCTAGATTACAGCTATTTCTAACTTTGTTGATCCTAGTTTTACTACACATCCAAGATATTATTCTCATTTTTGTCAAATATAGAGCTGTGTCAGAGTATTTAAATCAAAAAAATTTACGTAAAGACTAGCTAGAGAACATTTAAGGGGCTTACAACCTTAACCATGGATGGATGTTGCCCTTTGCATCATTGCAATAATTATGGTTAATAAATATCTATTATCTTTACGTGTCTCAGAAACAATAAAGATGCAGTGCTTAGCACGAGAGAATGTTTGACGAATTTCAGATGATCATGGGATGCAGAATTCTGAGATAGAGGCTAAGAGGAAGGAACTTGATTCTTGGAGTAAACAACTGAACAAACGTGAAGCATTAATTGAAAAAGAGAGACAGAAGCTTGACAAGGAAAAGCAAAGGGTGATACTTTTTCTTTTTCCGCATACTTATACTGCCTTGAAGGCAGGCCTATCCAATGTCAATTTGATATTTGGAATCTAAGATTAGCATGTTTTGATAGATCGAGGTGAAGAGGAAGGAACTTGATTCTTGGAGCAAACAGTTGAACAAACATGAGTCATCAACCAAAAGGGAGAGGCACAAGCTTACCAAGGAGAAAAGATAGGTGATATTTGCTCTTTTTCCGCGTACCTATACCATCTTGAAGGCATGCATATACAATGTCAATTTGATTTATGGATTTGAGATTAGCATATTTTGATAGTGTTGTTCATCCAAGTGTTTTCCCTCCTTTATATGAATGGTGCAAAGGATTTGAGACATATAGAAGTATGAACGTTTTGCAAGTTGTCAATTTTCCCTTCACTATATCCTATATATGCAAGTGAGGAACTCGTCAAGACTTCTTCACCTAATATTGTACAAGTGAACGGTTCTTTCATTTCTAGTGCTTCATGTTTTCCACTTGAAAAGTTAAATTGAAACCACAAAAAAGGAAAAAGAAAGAGCCAAAAAAAAAAAGAAAAGAAAATAGAAAGAAAGAAAAGATGATGGTACTGCTAAAAACAAGCTGATTATTGTATATTTTCCATGCTTGTTGCTAACAAGGCAAAGGAGATGAATGACGAATTGGAGCAAAAGATCAATAACTTGGAAGATTTAAATTAGACACTTTTGACAAAAGAGCGCCAAAGCAATAATGAGCTGCAA